AGGGTTAAAAGTGCTGAATTTATTGCATAGTTTTGAGATTCTGGTGGTGTTAGCAAAACTTCCTGAACAACCCCCCTCCCAAAAAAAAAACCCAAACAAAACTAATCCCTAAATAATCCCTGCTCTGAACACTGCTTTGCTACCCCATAGTTTTACTAGCACAGCTGTATCACTGTCTTTTTGCAAACTGGGTCCTGAAGCTGAAGTTTGATAAGCTTTTCCTAGGTCCTGGGTTAGGCTGAGCAGGGTGTGTTGGACCTCAGCTATGAGTGGGCCTGAAGGAAAGCCATGGATATAGGTATGTGGAGGATTCCCTGCACGTGGTGTTCTGTGCCTCTGAGCATCTATTCGCAGTGGCTGGGGAAGGGTCCTGGTTCCTGCTTAGGGCAGCTTCTGCTGAGGCATGGAAAGTGAGGCTCTCCTGTGGACAAATCCCTGCTTTCTGTCAGCATGGCAGCCGGTGTGCAAATGGGCTCTGGCTGTTAGTCCAGTAACAGCTCACACTGATGTCAGTCCACACTGGGGGCTAAACCCACGCTTGAGGTTGGGAGCTAAAGCAGAGTGATTCAGATAGCCTTGGGAATATGAACTTTTGCCTCAGGTGGTCCCACAAAAGGTTGTAAGCTTGCTCAAAATGACACACGCAGTACTTACCTACAGGCTTTCAACTTCCTTGGTAATGCATTCTTTTACTTAACTCCTCCCTGTTAGTTCAGTCCAAGGGGAGGTAGACAAGATAGAGCCAAATATGAGCTAATGGGACATCATAGCCTTGAAATATCTCAAGTCTTTCCTCTCAGAACCAGTGAAGGAAAATTAATCTCTTTCTTAAAACCAGGTCTCTTTTGAAAATTCAGATTTAGCATAAATGAGGGTCAAACATCACAACAAATGCTTTTAGAAAAGGAGATGATATACTTTAATAGCTGTATAATCACCTGCCTTGTCTGAAGGGATGTAAAGGTGCATCTAAACCAAAAGAATTAAGAAGTTTCTGTTGTTCTGCCTCTGGATTAAATTAGCTGTGAGTGCCATAATAAATGGTATAGGTGGTTTAGTGAGAGATCTGTGAAACCCAGAGACAAGAAACACGGAAGGTCAACCAGAGCAATGAAATAAATTGTGAATGAAAGTATAGCCATAAACAGGCATTTCTATTGTGTTGTGGTTGGGTTTTTTATTTGTTTTGGGGTGTGGGCTTTTTTTTTTTCTCCTTTTTTGATCAGGTGGGGGTAAGCATAACTAAGAGACCTGTCTGCAGGGAAATCATGGCTATTTATTTCTGAGGTACTGGAGAAACAGGTCAACTGATAGTCTTCCAAATACATCTTAGAATTTTGGGGAAATGGACAACATATTTCCCACTCTAGGGGAAACCCAGTTTCAAGTAAGTGCCGGTCATTTTTCCCATGAGAGAGGAAGAAGTATATTCTTTGGAAGCCTTTGCTTATTAATATTTTAGCATGAGACTCTGGGGGATAGTGTATGAGGACAGACTGGTGGGAGAAGGCAGGCAGGCAACCAGTTCTGGTGGAAGATGTCTGGGCCTGTGGAAGGTGTCCCCGCCATGGCAGGGTGGTTGGAGGTAGGTGATCTTGAAGGTCCCTTCCAACCCAAACCATTCTATGATTCTGTGCTGGGTTTATTTTTTTTCTCCAATCTTATAAAGCAGGTAGAAGTTACCTGGAAAAAACCTGTTCTAAAAGCTCATTGTTTTCAGTTAAGGGATTGTGTGGGTTAGGACAGAATAGAGATTTGCCTAGATAGAGTCATCAGAGAATCTTTCTCTTAAGGAAATCAGCATCAGAAAATGGTCCTTAAGAATATTTAGTAGAACCACTGTTGGCTTTTGAGATTTGGGCTTTTTTTTCAGCATAAAGTTAAACATTACACTATTTATTTGTTAAATTTTATTGCATCACAGTAATGTAAGCAGGTTTATAGAGGTTCAGATTTCTGAAAAGGCATGAAGTTAGTCTCTGTGCAAAATAACTGTTTAAGTGGAAAATACTGAAATGTATTGATTATAGTTTATATGTCCTGTGGGTAGAAGACACTACAGGAAGCATTCAGTAGACTTTTTTTCTCCCTTTTTAAATAAAGAAGAGATTATGCTAGAGCATAATAAATGAACTATTTCACCCTGACTTTGAAGAAGCTGTAAGTCCACCTACAGACCTTGCCAAACTGAGAATTTGCTTTGCATTTGTAGTAGGTACAGGTTTGGGCAGTGACTCTGATGGTAATTTTGGAGAAATGGCAATTTTACATCATTTAACCTAAATGAGCAGAATGGGAGAATACAGTTGTTTAATGCTGGCCAATCTATAAGATCCTTCAGGAAAGGTCTTGGTTCTACCACAGGAAACAGAATGCACATCCAAAGGATACACAGCAGTAGAAAGTGAATTTTCTTGTAAATCACAGCTTGTTTAGGGGCAATGCTCTCCCAAATGGCAGAGATGGTAGATTTTAACCATGGGAACCTCCTGAGGATAGTCAACCCCTCCTTACATCAGATGGCTGTGTGAAGCATTCTTGTTTTAGTTCTGTATTTTTACTTTTCACTGAGAAACAATCCCTTCCAGAGAGGATAATGTGGGATGATCACAAGGCGTACAGGTCAAGCAGGTTTGGACTGGGCTTTCTGTGGTCAGCCAGTCAGGATGCATATTTAGCATGTCTGCTGGTTAGGAATTTTGTGTTTAGGTAAGGCTGGATGTTGGCACAGGGCTTGCTTCCAAACTGGAGTCATCAGGTAGGGCTAAGGGCAGGTTGGCACTTGTGCTGAGTTCATCTGCTGAGATTTGTCAGCCAGCAACTCTTGAAAGTTGACGGAGGAGCACAACAGGACTTTGTCAGACCAGGGCAGGAGTGAGGAGAGAGAACTGGAATAAGAACTGCTCCCAGAACACATTTCCTTTCTGTTATAACAGTCCTTGATTCTCCAGGGTCCTCACTGTAGTACACATCTCCCATGGTTTTCACTTACAAGCAGTTGTAAGCAGTTATGCATCTAACTGACCAGAGAGTGCATACTCTGTTCTTGGACAGTCTCTTAAGCAGTAGCTGCACTACTAGCTCCTAAGCAGATGTAGAGTGGATTGATTTTCATGGTGGTGTTGTTTACAGCAACCCCTTATGTGGCCACTTAGATATTGCCCTTTTTGGAACCGGGATTCCAGGCTAGTTAAACCTTTGTCTTAACCCTGAGTAGCCGTTCTTATGCAGGGGTAGGAGTGAGGTTGTGGAGCAGAGAACGGAAGGGCTGCAGAACCTGCTGTTACTGCTGAAAGACATGCTTATGAGACTGTGCTTTAAATCTGTAGGCTTGATTGGAATTTGTCTCCCTGAGTTTTGCCTCATGATAGCTCAAAAGGGGCAAAAGACTGCATACATATACTTTGCCAATATCTCCAGTGCAAAAAGCAAAGAGTGAGGGTTTTTGTCACATCCAAAGCCTCACATCTTCCTAAAAAGCATTGAGTTCTTCAATGAGATGATGTGGTTCTCAGTTCTGTAGTGTCCCTGTAGTTTGAACTACCTTAAAATGGTACTACAATCCCTTAAAAGCAGCATTTCATGTGCCTTTGGCTTGAGGGATGCCTGGGAGTCTGTTGTTTGAGTTTCCATTGAAATATGCTGGACTAACTAGTCTCTGTCAAAGATGAAGCAAACTGGTAGGAACTGTTTCTTTATTCTTGCTATTACACAAGAATCTGTAGATATTCATGATTGAACATCTTCATCAGAATGACTTATTTCAGAAAGTGGTAGCTTAGCAGTTGTTGAGAGGAGGGAAAACCTTCAGTCTCCTATTTTCATGCGATGATGATACACATAAGCTGAAGCACAAGCATCAATGCTGGAGCTTGTCCTAAGGTACAGCAACATGATAGGTGGAAAGATGGCTTCTGTTAAAAAGGTTTTTTGTTGTTTTCCTTTCTGATCTGCCCTGAGTGTAAACCATCTACATGGTTGCCTCACAGAAGGCTTGTTACTGAGAGTTACTTAATCCTGCAGAATTAGCCTATTCTGTGAATTTGGGAAGGAAGCAGAATAAATGGTTCTTAGTTTGTTCCTGGGAATATTTCTAAGAACAAAGGCTTGGCAATCCCTGAAGATGTATGCTGGGTAATGAAGCTTCTGCTTTTGTATTTATATGGCTACTGCAGGTGGGGATCCTCTTGCAGCCTTTCTAAAGGTAGAGTCAGTTCTTTCCTCCTGTTGCCTTTGCCCTTCAAGACGGACGGTGCAGACACTTGCCATGATGAATGAGTGGATGATGTGCTCAGGAAAGTAAGGTGAAAGTAAAGGGTGAAGGGATTTTATCCATTTTTCTTTCTTTCTTTTGTAATAGTTGAGCTAGCTGTTTTGGTTTCTTTTCTCAAGGACCACATGAATAAACCTGAACAATATGAGGTTGAGTTGCACCTGTAAAAATGGATGCATTTTGTTAGCTTCCTCCTGTTCTGCACAAAGCCGCGAGCAGCAGAAGTACTGGAAGAACCTGCTGCGTAGGCTTATGCTAACCGTATGTTAACTTTGCTTCAAAAAAATTAAACCCTACCTCCTGCAGAACTTGATTTGCCATTGAGAAGAGCTTTCCACTTGCTGGGATTGAAGGGGAATTTTTCAGTCCCTGGCAATTGTGCAAGGAGATGGCTATTGTTACTGGCTCAAAGACTGTAGAAAGAACTTTAATTTCCCTGCTCTGTTTGATACCTCTGCAACTCCAAACTGTTTTTCAATGCAAATATTCAGCTGACTGTCCACTGTTGCTGCTTTTAGGTTTCTTTCATTTTACTTTCTCTTCCCCTATCCTCATGTTTCCTCTACATTGAGTGTTTGAAATTATTTTTGTCATGAGACATTTTTGTTTCCAAACTAATTTTATTTTCTGTCTAGGTCATTTATATATTTGTCTTCACTAATGTTTGCAACATTTCCATAGGATCCTCTGTGAATTTAACTAACATGCTGTTTACCCTTTCTTCCAGATCCAGTTTCTGATCCTACTTCCACATTTGGGAGTATGCAAGGGACAAACACATCTCTTTGCGTAGCTTGACTGGATATCCCAAGACTAGGATGTTAGTATATTTAAACAATTTATTTTTGCATTAAAATGTTGCCACTATATTAATTGCACATAGATTATTATTATTATTATTTTTGAAAATGTAATTTGCTTTATTGGCATTATGCATATTCAGAAGCCTGCTGTTAGAAACACTTTTTCTGCAGTCTGACTAATGCTTATTGGTGACTTTAAAATGGGTGCAGGAGTAGGAAGCATTTCAGTGTTGGTTTTAAAGGCGCCGGGCTTATTTAGTGTTACAGCTTTAGCACTCATTCTTGAAAATCTTGGCTCTTTGTCTAATAAGATTAACTGTAGGTTAATCCAAAAACATATAAAATCTTTAGAGCCGTGTTCAACATATTTATGAAAGACCATTTCAGACTTCTGAATGCATGAATACAGGCTCTAGGAGAGATTTTTAAATACTTGAAATAGTCAAATATCTACAGAAATACTTTCATCAAATAAGTGTTAATGAAAAACTAGAATTGCACACTGAAGTTTTTTGAATCCCTGCATCACAGGTTGCATTATTTTGGTATTTGTAAGAAACCAGTTGTCTGGAAAAGTAAACCCTGAGCTAAACTACTTTTGCAGAGTTGATAATGCAGCTTCCTCTAAAATGTGTTTTGTGATGGTGCAGTTACTGCAAAATGAGCTAGTGCATGTTTTCTGTTATGTAAGCAATTGTCTGGCAGTAATCAGCAGTTCAAAGATAAAGAAGTCAGCATTAAACTAATGTGCTATTTTTAAAACTGTATTTTTGTCTCAGCCACCTCTTGAGTGTCTCATGTATTCAACTACTACTGTATCTAATTGAACAAACTACTGAAACACTACTACAAGCAACTATTTAAATTACTGAAGTGGATTTGATGCTGAATGCAGTGTTCATTGAGTAGCTGTAGACTTTGCAGGTTTCTCTGCAGCCCTGGTTTTCAGTGCGCTTACATTCTTTACCTCTTGTAAATGGAGTCTTCTCTTCATGTGGTTTGAATTTCTTTTGTTAAAACTGTTGCCTGTCTTCTTGGCTAACATTTTGAAGTAAATGGATTTTCATTTATACTGTCTAGCTCTATACGTGGGTAGTAAATTTGGGTAAGATTTCAGATTTTCAACTTAGCTACTTTGCTAGATGCTCTCAGAAGAACCAGCACTAGGGAAGTGCAGCACTTGTTCTAGTGTTCCACTGTGCCTTATTTTCGTGGTCCATTCATTCACTCACCCCTTCAGTGTTATTCCTGTGGTTTTACAGAAAAGTGAGTTTAGTATGGTTGTTCCAAGCTTTTCAAGGGAATTTGAGACTCATTGAATACTACTGTTTATTTTATCAAGTTTGCTGAAGCACAAGGTATTCTAGAAGTCAAATATTCCTTGAGCCTGGAAATGTTTCTAGTGTCAACAAACCACTGTCTTAAAAATGTTGCCTGTATTTGATATAACCTTCAGAGGATTTAAGGTATAAAATGGTGGGGTAATGAGGAGCAAGGCACTTGCATGAAATTGTTACTTGTGCTTCCTGCACACACTGTCTTCAGCAATTTATTGTTCATTCTTTGTGATACTTTGTTCATTACATGTGCATGATACTATTTTTCTTTCAGAGAAACTTGTGTATGAAGAGTTCTGTAGGGAAAAGCTGACCTTAAGGGAAGATACTTACTAAGTGTCATAGACACCAACCTATTTTGTAACTTTGAATATCTGTTAGTGCTACTCTAGACTTCTAAACCCTTAGGATCAGATGATTAACATGTAGCCTGCAGAAGCACAGTTTGTATCAAATTCCTTCACTGTTTATATGACTGCACTTCTGGCAGTTCTTAGCCCTGGATTAGGCAATCCGTTTCTGAGATTTTGCTCTGAAAGGAATGTTCAGAAGTTACAAAAAGGGCTGCTTTGGGTATAGGTGGACAGCAACTCTTATCTTAAAACCTGAAGCTTTTCTAGCAAACTGTCACTCAAAACTGTGAAGTTTCTTCATATAGAGGTTGTCTGTCTCCAGTGAATTTAGCAATACAACACAATGTGCAGTGCCAAGCTTGAGGAGCTTTGTGTATAGATTACCTGGAAAATTTCACTCTGGTTTTGAACACAGATCCTGTAGTAGCCAGCTTAGAAGGCTGAGTGTTCTCCCAGTGTTTCTTTACTTAGCACCAAAGAAATGCATTTAGATCCACTGAGCATCCTAAACAGGGATTAATTCTTTGAACAGATCTGAGGCAGTAACAGGTCTGCCAAGACCTTTTCATTGAGATACCACCTATGAAATTGGAGCAAGGGTGGCTGTTCTAGAAGCCTGATCTCCACATGTTTTGTCTTTGACAATTTGATATTCTTGACTAGAAACCCAAATTTGATTAACTGTGAGCATAGTCTGAGATTCTGCTGTAATTCAATCTCATTGAGCAACTTAGTGTGCAGAAAGCGTGGGACTGCTGTCTTCTTTCAAATTCAGATCACACATGCTGTTTTCAAGCAAAGAACTTCAACAAGGCTGAAAACAAAAGTTGTGTGGGAATAGGGTGGCCTCAACCAAAATACAGTGGATTAAATGTTTGACTTCTTTAGTTATGCAAGGCTAGTAACATGCTGTGCTTCAGGAAGTGTTCAAGGCAAGGCTGGATGGGACTTTGAGCAACATGAGCTAGTGGAAGGTGACCTATCTGTGGCAGGGAGGTTGGAACTAGATGATCTCTAAGGTCCCTTCCAACCCAAACCAAACAGTGATTTTGTGAATTATAGAAGGTCTGGAGTAAATGAGATGGAAGACTGGGCTTCTGCAGTCAAAAAGTTGCACAGACCTGCTTGGCTTGAGAAAGACTTAAACTTACTTGGGTAAGTGCAAAGTAAATGGTTAAATATACCATAGACATCAAATTCAGTATAGCTACCCAGAAAAGATACTTGGGTATAACTTTGAAATCCTGAATGGCCGTCATAAAAGATGCATTCACTGTCACGTTACGTTTGCATCAACCAAATCCCAAAGGATTTTCTTCTGACTATGACTTTCAGCTCTGATCCAGTACCTACTTCAGATGTCTGTCTCAAATCTGAATAAGAGAAAGGCAGTCTGAGAGAGGGAATGAGAAAGTCGAACAGGTCTTGATTTCAGCAGTGTTGCTGTCCAAGTTGTCCCCGGTCCTGACACTTGTTCCTGGACTAAGCCAGGAAATTGTTCTTGTCTAGAAATAAGGCAAGCAAAACAGGTTATTTTTCTCATAGTCTTCTGCATGTACCTGAACAGGTGCCAGTGTCAATGGAAGAGTGTGAAAAGAAAAGCCTGGTATTAAGCAGCCTTTCTTCTGTCCCATGTTACTGCCAAGGAGGAAAAAGAAAAGCTCAGTGTAACTCCAGTTGTAGTTGGACACAAAATACCCTAAGAAAGTGTATGCTTCTCCTGGGAAGCTCATCTGCAGGCATAGCTTATAGAATTGATGGTGTATATATGAAGCTGAAAGGTTAGTGAGATTCAGAAAGCTGCTACATGAAATGATGGCAGACATTGTATGACATTAGAAGAGAGAGAGATTTATCAGTCTCTTGCTCTTTGGGAAAATTTTCCACCAAACCCCAAAAGCCAAGCTGTCTTAAAGCTGCTCACTGTAAGTTTCTTGCATCTGTGTGTAGTTTTTAAAGAATGTTCACTGCTCCTATTGTACACTGAGTAATGAATGCTCCATCACAGTTGGCAATCTCAGTTCCCACAACTTACTTAAGCACCAAACTGTTTTGCTGTTATAATCTTTTGTTACAGCGTCATCGGCAGCTGTGCTTATGCTTCTGTTTCCAGAGAAATATTAGGGCTTGCAGCTTTAGTGCACAGGCATAACTCGAGGTGTGAATGAAGGACAGGTATTTCAGTTACTATTTAGTTCTGTTGGCACAAGGGTAGCAATAGTAACACAGCTGTATCTTCCATGATGTTGTCAAGTGCTGACTTTGTACCGTTGTGCTCTTGATACTATTGTTGTGTAAAGGGCAGTAAAGCTGGAGGGGCTGTGAGGCTTAGGTGTTTTCCCTTTGAGTTTGCATCTTGTGTTGTAGGCTCACGAATGCCTCACTTGAGGTATACTTTCAAATGTGATTTCAGTGGTGAAAATTAGTCCTTGTAATCTGCTCTGTAGCTAGAATGAATTCTATGCTCACTTCTTTCAGTGTTAAGATACTTCTCTTTGGGTGCTGATCTGCTTGTTTGGGGGATTTTTTGTTTAAGGTGGATATCTTTTCCCTGCTGCCTTGCTTTCTGTTATCCTTTCACTTTGTGTAGCTGCCTGTATCACCTGCTGATTTCACTTAGATCATCCTTTCTGTTGACAGAACTGAACAGTCCATCTGAAAAGCCTAAGGGTACTTTTTTTAGAGTTTGAGAAGCTTTCTCAAAACATCAGGCTTGCCTCCTATTCACTGTAGTCACAGAATCCTAGAATAGTTAGGGTTGGAAAGGACCTTAAGATCATCTAGTTCCAACCCCCCTGATATGGGCAGGGACACCTCACACTAAACCATATCACCCAAGGCTCTGTCCAGCCTGGCCTTTAACACTGCCAGGGATGGAGCGTTCACAACCTCCCTGGGCAACCTGTTCCAGTGCCTCACCATCCTAACAGGAAAGAATTTCCTCCTTATATCCAATCTAAACTCCCCCTGTTTAAGTTTTAACCCGTTAACCCCTTGTCCTATCACTACAGTCCCTAATGAAGAGTCCCTCCCCAGCATCCCTATAGGCCCCCTTCAGATACTGGAAGGCTGCTCTGAGGTCTCCACGCAGCCTTCTCTTCTCCAGGCTGAACAGCCCCAACTTTCTCAGCCAGTCTTCATAGGGGAGGTGCTCCAGTTCCCTGATCATCCTCGTGGCCCTTCTCTGGACTTCTTCCAACAGATCCATGTCCTTTTTATGTTGAGGACACCAGAACTGCACCCAATACTCCAAGTGAGGTCTCACAAGAGCAGAGTAAAGGGGCAGGATCACCTCCTTCGACCTGCTGGTCAGGCTGCTTTTGATGC